TAAATTCTCATACAACTATTCAGTGGATGGGAATGCACTGGGTTTTGGGGTGGGCATGAATTTATCCCATCTGAGCTGTCTGAAGCAAGTTCTCTGCTAATATTGCAGTGAAATTCCCCCAGGGCTGGTTGTTCTGAGTCTTCCTGCAGAATCTATTCTGCTTGTTTTACTGATTCCTAAATATAATTTTTCTAAAGGTGAGTGGCAGCAAATGAGTTTAAGCAAAAAGCAGCTGTGGTTTGTTGCTTCCATGTTCTACAATGCTTGTTAGCATCTGAAGCTTAAGAGGTAAATAGCAGCTCTGGTGCTGGAGCAGGGGAAGGCAGGAACAGCAGAATTAAATTCAGCTGGTGACTGGTCACTGGTGGTGGTCCTGGGGTTGGTGCTGGGACTGACCCTGCATAGTATCTTAATGGTGACCTGGATGAGGGCACTGAGTGCACCCTCAGTAACAGTTGACACCAAGTTGGGAGAAATATTGATCTGCCTGGGGGAAGGAAGGCCCTACGGAGGTACCTGGACAGGCTGATTGATGGGCTGAGACCAACGGGATGTGATTCAACAAGGCCCTGCCCTTTGGTCACGACAACCCCATACGTTGCTTCAGGCTTGGGGCAGAGCAGCTGGAAGGCTGTGGGAAGGAAAGGGATCTGGGGTTGTTGGTCACTGCTCTGCTGAACGTGAGCCAGCAGTGTGCCCAGGTGGTCAAGAAGGCCCTTCACTACCAGAAGGACATCTAGGCATTGGAGTGTGTCCAGAGAAGGGCAATGAAACTGTGAGGGGTCTGGAGCACAAGTGTTATAGGGAGCAGCTGAGGGAAAAGGGGCAGTTCATATGGAGAAGAGGAGGCTCAGGGGAGACCGCACTGATCTTTCCAACTCCCTGAAGAGAGGTTGTGGTGAGGCGTGGGTCTGCCTCTGCTTCCAGGTAACAAGCGATGGGATGAGAGGTGATGACTTCAAGTTGCACCTGAAGAGGTTCAGAGTGGATATTAAGAGCAAATTCTTAGAAAGTGGTCATTGGCACAGGCTGTCCGGGGAGGTGGTTGAGTCACTGTCCCTGGAGGTGTTCAGTGTGGGGATGGACTTGGTCAGTGGGCATGGAGGGATGGGCTGGGGTTGGACCTGCTGTTCATAGAGGTCTTTTCCACCCTTAGTGACTCTATAAACACAACCTGGTGACAGAATGCAGCTCTCAGTACGGGCCACCTTGCAGTAGTGTCTGAACTCTGCACCAATTAATGCAAACTTAAGAGAAATTCTTATGTAGGAAATGTGATTTTGCCGTGATGGCATTCTGAATGACTGGAAGAGAGAATCAGTTTTCCAAGAGTCGAGATAAATGCACTTAACAAGGCTTCTTGGAACCAACTTGTCTTCCTTTCTATATGTATCCAAGGAGAGAAATGTTTCTAAAAACCAAAACTCACTGGTAATAGTCTTCCTACCAGTCCCCTCCTCCACTGTATCTCTGGATATAGCACTGTTAGTTTGAGATTTCTATGTCTCTCGAGGGAAATGGAGAACATTCCTGAATCTAAAGTAGCATTTTGGAATCCCTGAGCTGGAGTTCAGATGGCACAGCCTCTCTCAAGGATAAATCATGGGAGCTGCCAACGTGTGGGATATTTGTTTAATAGGCGTGGGGCCAACAAACATAGATACTGTTTACTTAATTCGCTAATAAATAGTAAATGCTTCATCTCGGACTGGATCTGTGCAATTTTCCAGTAGCAACATGATGATAAAGAAGTGTCCTGGCTGAATGTGGGCAGTGTTAACAAAAATCTGACTTATTGTGAGCTTGCATTTGCTGCCAGCTGCCTCCATCTCAGCAGCTGTGGTGAGAAAAAAAAGGCCAGTGAAGAAGGCACATTAGCTTTATGTCAACACCAAACACGACACAATCAGGATTTTTATTAAAAATTACTATTTAATCGTAAAAACCAACTCAACCCACCAATCAGCGGAAGAAAAACTCTTTGTTGGCTTGAAATCTTGCAGTGGTTCTTGTTTCGCCCAAGCAGATTTTTTCCAATTTTCAACCCTCTGGAGTTGGACTGCTATGGTACAATCTCAGGACTACTGGGAGCCAATTGAGGGAAGGCAATCGCACTGTTGAGGGGATGCACTGCTGCATTCATCCATTCCTCTACATTATCTTCACCAGTTAAGTTAGCATGAAATCTGGACAGAAGCTGGGTCCAGCATTCAGCAGCATTCAGCAGCATGGGTTGGGTCATTATTCCCTAGCTGTGTAGGTTCATAGAGGTTCAACCATAGGTTCAACCATACGGGTTGTGACTGATACTGCTTTATGTCATATATGATGGCCTGCTTGTCACTAGGGGCTTCCCTGGAAACCCTGTTTTTTGTGAGAATAAGCCTGTGCTGATGATGAGTGGGAATCTGTGTTGAAGTCAACTAGAGTTGAGGTCGTATAGAGATACACCACAGTGATACGCAGACGGGAGGTGACTGCAAATGTGAGTGTGTGGTTGTCCACAGTGAGGAAACAAGCAACAAATGGGTGATTTGATGATGCCCTCTCACACTCCCCTCCCTTTCCTTTCCAACAGGTACATGGAGGACTGAAGAAGCAAGTTAAGAAGCCACATAATGAGATATGTGCACTTATTTTGATATACAAGCCCAGGGCAGGTTTTTCTATTTGAAAAGGAATCTTACACAGAGCTCAAGTTTCTAAAATAGGTCTTCAGTTGATAAATTTATGTCACAGGGCTTTATTTTTGTGTCCCACTTAAGTCAAGGCAATAGAAGATGTAGGTCTGGAGAACCATTCACTTGTGCTAATGTAATTACTTGCTGGGACAAACCAGCAGTTTTACACCCAGTGAAGTTAGTGGTTTCAAATATAGGAAACATCCATTTTTTACCTTTTTTTTTTTTTTTTTTCCCCCTCCTTTTTGATGTCTGCCAAAATGTCAGGAAGAAAATGCAAAACAAAAAGCAAACAAACCCAGAAAGCTTCTATCTTTCCTATCTGTCAGGCGCTATGTTTTCTTGACGACAAAGCAGCAATCACAACAATAAAATCCAATCACAACAAACTGTAAAATCTGAAAGCTGTGTGGAAGCTTCTGGTGTGGAAGCGTGGCAGTGTGTGTGGGTATGATCCCCACTCCTTATTTCTTGCTTCTCTCCTGCTGCATACAAGCTAAAGCTGTTATTTCAGCCAAGCTTTTAGGAACTCTTTCATAGGACAAGGGGAAATTGCGCTCCGCAAGACAGTGGGTTAACAAATACCTGCTTGGATCTGAGCGTCTTACTGAACAGTAAAATCAGGCTACATTAAAAAATGATAGCATCAAGCCAAAACAAATTGTGGGGAAAGAACAGCATGCTTTCACGCCGTTGTTTCTCCTGTAATTGCCAGCACAGCATCACACATCACTATAAAATGTCCGAACTCCAACAACGTTGCCCGCTGCTCTGACCTTTGCTGGCAGCTGGACAACAGGACAACACTGCAGCAGCAGATGATTCAAATTGTAGTGAAATTTCCCACTGTGTCTGAATCTTTGTGAAAAAAATTCCCTCCTTGAGAGCAACGGAGGAATCTCTCAGGGAGGCGGAGCGGCGCAGCGCCATCACAGCTCCCCCAGTTCTTCAATCCTGCATTGAGTGCATCTTTGCATGTCACTGAGCTTAATTATTTCACAAAACTTTATCTCAGCATGGTTTTAAACATAAAAGATGCGATGGGAACTGTGAGGACAGAAGGTGCTGAGAATCCATCGCGGACATCCCAGGAAGCGGAAAGGAGTGGGAAGTTTATCCCAGAGTAAGTGCTGGCAGCTTCTGCCTGATTTCTGCTGTTGTAATGACATGAAACAAACATCAGGTTTTATTTTATTTTTTTTTTCCTGACACGTGTCAGCTTTTCAAAGTCGCTGCTGGCATTTGATGAAGCTCAGCATTCCCGGGACAGTTGGAATAGATCACATCTATTGCAGAGAGGGAATTTAAACACAGTGTGAGTGCTTGGGTTTGGTCAGAAAATCACAATCAAGTCAGGGAAGTAAACCTCTTGTCCAGTGTGTCAGAAAATCTGATTTCTTCCTGGCCTTGTGGCCAGGTTCACAGCAAAGTTTTGTGGCAGAGGAGGGGTCCAGAGCTTCTGTATTAAGAAAGGCTGACGTCTTTCTATGTAACTTTATTTTATACAGCTAAAAAAACCCACACATTTCCTGGACGATTTTCTTGCCATTGATTAAAAATAACCTCTATTGTCTGGCAGTGGACATACTGATCACAGGAGCATTTTGCACTGTACGTTATGTAGCTGCATTGATGTCCATCCATCATTTGGTCAGGAATTTCTTCGAGTCTGTACCACTTAAGGACCACATCTGCAATACAAAGTAATGCTCATTCTAAGCCAGAGAGGAAGAGCAAGTCTGCAAAGGGAGCAGATAGCATTTGTTTCTTGTGCCCTTAAAAGCTTTCTCCAGAGATTCCCTGAGACCTTGGGTCAAATTATCAAAGGGTTCATTGACAACTGTACTCAGGACCTTCCAAATTCTGAGCATCAGCTTTACTGGGGATCCCTTCTGTTTTCCCTTTACAAATCATGGAATACAGTCATTCAGCACCACCTACCCCAAAGAGGATTCACATTCTTGGGTTGATGGAGGTAGTTCTCTTAGTGTTTGTGTATGTGGGCTACAGCAAAATGGACTGGATTCCATCTGGGACCTGATGTGTTACTGTAAGCAGGCTGAATAAGCACGGCGAGGACCAGGGACCCAAATGGAATTTTCAGCCTCCTTTCAGATTTTTATGAAGTCTAACTTTTTGCAGTAGAAGCGCAATAATTCCTTTATTCTCCTCGTTCCTTACTCCCACTAAAACCACCGAGGTCTTCAGAATCTCTACCCAGTCCTCTACCCAAAGGCTTTGTATTAAGGGAAAGGACAGGCATATAAATGTTTTGGAGAAGAAAGGGGAAAAAAGCAGTCCACTTGTAGCTCCAAAGTGCACATTCCCCCCAATAATTTATTTGTTCACCAAGCGATATTTCACATACATTCATTTTGTTCAAGGAAATGACCAGTACGACTGTTTGAACAAGGGGCATCATAACGAGTCTATAAAAACAGCATGTACAAACCCCAGTGACACTGGAATACCATGTTCAGAAAATGCAGTGCCCATTTCAAGAAATGTCCGTAGAAACCACTGGCAGCCAAACGCGAATGACATGCAGGCCAAGTGCTGCTGCAGACAGAAGGAAAAATAAAATACTTTTTCAGCCAAAGGCTGTCTAAGCAAAAAAAAAAAAAAACAACAAAAAACCATCCAAACAACAACAACAAAATAACGGCCCCGGCTTGCGTACAATTCCCACAGTTGTAAGATAAATACAACTGAGCACTTAACGATATTCAGCACGTTTTCATTGTACCACAGACTAATGATGCTGTGGTTATTAGCAGAGTGGAGCTGCTTTCTAAAGGGAAATCTGATGCAGACTAGATTTAAGGTGTTTTTTCCTTGTTTCTTCAGAAGAAGGGCCAAGTTTTGACAGTTGCAGTGCAGGTCAATACAAGAAGCTCTTGTCCTTTGGTCTGACACACTGAGTAATGGAAAATCAGTTCTGCCTTCCGGTGTAAACCCTTGGACATTCTGGCTCTGAAAACGACCTAGAAGTGTTGTGATGCTGAAGCAGAGGATGTTTTTCAGCTTGGATTTGAGCTTGGTATAACAGACAGTAATCCGCATTAACTCTGAGCATGTCATGCAACTAAAAGACATGTTATTTCCGATATTTGCTTGCAATAACCAGCCTTTCTTTTTAGCAATTCATTTCCCCGTAGCTATTTTTCCCCTGCTCTGCCAGTATGAGAAATATGCAGTACACTCTGCCTAGAATGCGTGACATTTTACTTGAATCTCAAATACAAACATTATAACCTCCTCCTGGGAAAGAAGTGATTCAATTACATTTATCAAGCTAGGTGGAGGGAGATCTTTGTTTTAACGCACGACAAACGCTCTTGTAGTGCCTTGGATTTCCATAATGCTGTCATACATTAAACCGTTTGCTTGTGAATACCTTCAAAAAGTAGTTGATGATGTTTTGGATTAGCTCCCTTTCGTAGCTGGGAAAGGTCTAGGTTATAAGATGTAGTGGGGGAAAGAAAGGATTAGTCTGGCCAGAGAGCTTACCCTTCTCCCTGGGAGTCTCGTTGCAATTAGGCAAGAAATAGTGGATAAATTCATTTACAGAATGTGTTAGTTGACTTCTGGGCATAGCTAGGACCTTCCACTTCTGCATGGTGTTAAGAACTTTCCTAGCTGACCACAGCTTGTACATGATGCTCCAGCCATCGTTAACCCTCGGAAAACACAAGGAGTCAAGCAGGGCATTTTGCAAGACTGAAGAACTTTGTGAAATCTGTCTGCTGACTCCGAGCAGAAGAACAAGAAATATTCTGAACTCAGCCTTTCCTCCTTCCAATGCCACAGAAGCCTGGCAAAGGAAAATATCACTTTACACAATGTGTAATTTCTCCTTGGACTTGGCAGAGAAAAAACACGGAGGCATTTTTTTGGACAACGGGAAAACCTTAGAAAATTTGAGACCTGAATAATCTTAGAGAGCATGTGAAAATCCAAAAACAGAATGTTGATCTGAATGAGTGTGGATGGTGGGAAACGCGACAGCAGTGTCCACAATGGTGGACAGCAGGATGCTCTCTGATTCCAGTTGGGACGCGTTGATTAATGGATCAATGCGGTCCAGTGGATGTGGCTTAAGGGGGCATGGTGGAGATGGGTCGATGATTAGACTAGATGATCTTAGTGGTCTTCTCCAACCTTAATGATTCTACAGTTTAATGAAAGTCGTGACACTGTGATCTGACCACCTCCCACTTTGTTATCCTAACCTCTGCCTCTTTGAAGCACGATGCTACATAGACCTGTCCACGTAGACATTGCCACCAGCATGCTTTATACTCACTGCAGATTCCAACTGTGTTGCTCTGAAATTCAATGACCAAACCCATTTGCTCCAACCTACCTGTACCTCCACAACAACCCCACGCCTGACACTGCGGAACCTACAACAAACCTAAGGTCGGAATTCTCACAACTCCAAAGGAGAGAGGGCACAATGACCCTTTGGTCTGAGTTACACAGCAGGTATCCGTCCAAATGGGGCAGAACCTGGCTGCAGTGGAGATACTCAGTCTGAGTAGTTCAGCTCCATTTAATGGGTGTTTTTTCAGTGTTTCAGAGTTCAGGTTTTATTCAAGTGAGTGTCCCACGTATTTGAACCCCATGAGACCAAGAACCTTGGCTTGGAGTCTCATATGACTTTCTTATGAGATTTCCAGCTTTTCTGCTTCTGGTCTTGGCTTGAAATACCATGAGAATATTTATTCATGGTATTTTAGCACTCCTGGTTTCCAATCATTGAAAACCTGAGGAAAAGCTCAAAGGGTGGAGTGGATTTCTTATTTTAAATAAAAATGGGACAATGCTACAGATATGCTACCTGCAAGTACACGTTTTTGGAAGTAAATAAGAGCCTGACAATAAGGACTGGAATTGAAGTTTTCTCTAATTTTAACCTGCTTGGGACATTCTGTAACTCTCTGACCCAGCATTTCAATGAGAGAACAAATACTGTCTTGATGCTGGAGACCATACAGAATGAGAGATGAACAAAGAGTGATTCCTCATCAAGATTACCAGGATTGTCCTTCCAAGGTCCCATCCTGAAAACGCTGATCTTAAGCCTTTTTCCTTTTCAAACCAGTGCATATCCTGCACGTCTCAGGAGCTGATGCTGAGACATGAGTGGAGGCTCATGTGTTGTTTCAAGGAAGCTGCATTTTTCAGTTGGCAGGCTCAGGAGGAGGCATGTCAAGAGCTGCCTATTTCTAATACTGCACAGAGAATTCCTCTGTATTTTTTTCCAGATGCTGAGCAGCCCCCTTTATTTATTTATTTGTTTAGATTAGCTGCATTAAAATATACCAGGCTCCCAAATGTTTTTCACCCAAATTCCCATAGGAAGGGGCCATTCTCATGAGGATGTATGGCCTTAAGTTAGTTACTGGGTTTAGCTCTCACTGCTCTGAAGTAGGATAACTTTCCTGACCTCATGGTACGTGGGGTTGGAAGGCTTAGGGTACTTTGCACTGCAGAGGGATGTAGCATAATGCTGGGCAAAGGGACCATGGGACATCCAGCTTTTCCAGTGACTGTGGCACAGCAGTACCTGAAGGTGTGACTGGGGAAAGCACCTGGGCCAGGAGTTTCTGAGGTTTCAGGTGTTTTCTGCTAAACTTGGAAGAAGGGAGACAAACGGATGAATAGAAGAGACCTGTTCAAGCCTTGTTTGAAGATGTCTTACCTCCTTTTGAATTTTATCAGACATCAAAGTGCAGAAACCTTTCAAACACACCTAGGATGCATGCAGATTTTCATTTCAATCAGGGGATTTGGGGGAGATTGGTTGTGTAAAACAGAAAAGTTCTTGTCTCTGGAGCTAAGAGGAGTGCACCACTGGGATCAAGTTTCTCTTGGCTGTACAACTTACTGACATGTTCAGCACCAAGGGAAACTCAGAGCCACTCCAAACAGTGCAAGAGCCAGAGGAGCGTTTGCTGTGCAATGCTTGGATGTGACACACTGAGGACAAAATGGGACTGCCCAGCCAAAGGTGTCACCCCAAGAGCTGCCTGCTCTTTAGCAGGGGCTGTAGGATCTCCCCAGACGAAGCAGGAGATGAACAAAAGAGGCAAGACACGGTAGGAATTCATTCTCGTCCACAGTCCCTTAACAAAACGTAAGCAGAGATCTGTAAACACTGTCCCAAGACCTGAGCCTCCCAACCTCAGCTCTCCTGGATGCTGTATCAATGTTTGTACATCTATATATTAAAAAAAAAAAAAAAAAAAGTCACAGAATTGGCTCTAAACTTGGAGCTGTCTGCAGGCATCCACGCTGAAATTGGTACGGTGTCCTTGTAGTTGGCTCTTGCTCCCACATCACATCTAAATCTGAGCAGCCGGACTTTAAAAGAGGGAAATGTGGTGAAAACAAGGCCTTTAAATCTCAGGGAAACCACGTCTCTTCGAAGAGCAGAGGGCGCTCACCATCCACTGAAGCCATTCACTGTCTTTAAAGGGCTTTCCTCAGGCTAACAGCACTCCACCATCACTCCCCACAAGGCCTGGTTCTCTTTTCCAGCATGCTAACTCCTCATCCCAACTCCTTCAACTGCTATAGCATCAACTTCAATCCCCAACAAAATGGATAATCCCAATGAAAAGGCAGTGGCCTCACACTGGCAGAGCCTTTAGACATCCTCCCCGTTCTCACTGAGGGTCATGGTGTGAAATTTAATGGTTGGCACTTTGCAGTTTTCATGCACCGCGTTCCCTGCAGTGCCCGCACAGCAGCACTCCTGGAGGAAGCCTTTGCTTTTCACTTTGGCAGCAGTGCAGCTGGACTTGTCCTTAGGAATCGCATTTTTCGTCGGCACGCTTTGCGCGGCAGAGAAAATCTTCCATTCACAGACCCCATCGGCTCTGGAAATCTTATAGAAGGTTTCTCCCGAGCCGACGGGGATACGGACCACACCTCTGCCACCTCCCACGCTTTGGCTGTTGGGATGATTGAGGTTGAAGCTTGGGGGTTGCTTTTTCGCTGCATGCTTTCTTGGGAGGCACTGCGCTCTCAGGACATTTTGGAACGCTTTCTTAAACTCTTGACTGGAGCATGGATAGATGATGGGGTTGATGCAGCTGTTTAAATATCCAAGCCAAAATGTTATTTTAAAAAGTGTGTCCGGGGGTTTGATTGTAGGAAAGAAAGAACCTAAAATGGAAAATATACAGAGTGTTAAGGCAGAGGCAGTGAGAAATTGCAGGTAACCAAAGAAACTTAAACACTGGAAAAACATAAATAAGATTCTGCTCTGTCTTGGAAAACTTATGACTCAAAGCCTAATTCCTGCAGGAAAGAGTCTTTCAGAATGCATGATGCTGTACAATTACATGGATGCTATCAGAGATCAATTCAAGGCTCAAGACACCCACTTCATTATACAAGCATTGGCTTCTCCCATTTACAGCCTGAGGCAAGAGAACAGATAGCAAGTAATAAAGGAAAATTGCTCCCTCTAGAACTTCTCATTCAAGACCAGTTAGCCAAATAACAATCATGTCGAGGAGGTCATCAAAAGGGGTTTCAAAGGGTAGGAAATCACAGCATTTTGGAAGTCTGAGTACTGGATTACTGGGTTGACCAACTAGAAGTCTTCAAAGCATTAGATATTGGGCGCTCATTTTCTCTTGCAGCCTTTCAGGAAATAGCTTTTCTTGTGGCATGCATCTGAAATGCAGAGAAATTAGAAGAAATTGAACACTGGAGAAATGGTCTGAAGTTGGAATGCATAACAAAGTAATATCTACCTGCAATCTTAACTCCCAGAGACCATCCAAAGAGCAATGTAGATGGGTCCCTAGCAAGGAGAGCACTGTGGGCCTTTTTATTCTATAGGAAGCAGAACAGCATCGAAATACTAGAGGTGGTTTGACAGGGGTTATACAGCAAATGAGTGACAAAGCTGTTGGCTGTGCATTTATTGGAACTCATTGACACTGTATCAACTCCAAGTGGCCATGCCAACTGAAGATGAAACTGCATTGCTAACAGCGTTTTTAAAAGTAGGCTATGGGAGCATTAAGGTTGGAAGAGGCCTCCAAGGTCATCTAGTCCAACTCCTAATGATAATACTGATACCAAAGGATTTAGTTTGATATCTACTGATTTAAAATATTGTGAATTCTTCCCAATGCCAAACATTTAATTTCTTTTTCTGTTCAAATAAAATTTAAGCCCCTTACTGCTTTTAGAAGCAAATTCTTAGCTTGCTTATTAAATGATATGAATAGTTTGCTTATAAGATTATTTGAATAGGATGTCTGTAAATGCTTAAGAGATTTACTGATGGAAAGATGTAACTATAAAGCTACAGAGACACACTTGGGGTGTTAAAGAGTCAATGCTGCTGCTGCTGCAGCACTTAGAAATTAGTTGCTTTTCCTGAATGACACTGGAAACCAGCCACTATAACAGGATCCTCTAGTTCTTTGGTACTTCTCTCTGCTTGGAAATAAAAACAATATTGCCTGAGTGTGAGTGAAACAGAAAACCAAACTCCATGCTATGCGGGGGTGGGATAAGTGATAACAGCACTTCTAAGACCAGTCTTGCAAAACGGATCCAGAATGAGAAAAAAGAGAAAAACATTTCCCATATGCTGTCAAGGGAAAGGCTGCTTCTTACTTAACTCCAGTGAAACGGAAAGAAAAAAAAGAAAAAAGGAAAGTGATTCTATCATTCTGTTGACAGCAATTAGTTGCAGTTGCTTATCATGGGCACAGGGAGCAAAATAATTTCCCAGCAAGTATATCGTGGTGTCACAGAATCACAGAATCGTAATTGGCTTATTTTGGACTTCATAGTCAGGTCTCTAACAAATTGCTCTTTTATCACTTATGTACACATGCCTTCCTGCTTTTCCCTCACAAATCAGAACCGTGTACATTCAGGAAGAGATGCTGTGGAGGATTTTGATGGCAATGCCTTTGACACCCTCGATAGTTTCCTTGATTTCTGCATCACCTCCTCGGCTTGACAGGGGTTGGTCTGTTTGTTGGACCTCTGCTGATTCTGGAAAAGCTTGCAAAGCAACAAGAGCCTTCTAATTGAATCCTGAGAGTGCTGAACTTTGGTTTGAATCTTCTCCTTCTGAATCTTTTCCTTTCTTTGCCAAACAAAGTGACAGTGAGGGCAGCAAATGCTTCCAAGCGGCAAAACCCAGCGAGGAATTCTCAGGGTGTTTTTGCCCGTGTGGGAATGTATCAAAACACTGCTTGGACCAGGGGACACAAACAGTGCAGTGTGATTAATGATGCGCTCATCCTGCTTCTGCTGAGCACAGCCTCTGCTGCGAAACGCAGAGCAGTGCCATCTTTCTTCCATCCCCTATGGAAGAAACAGGGGATGGGCAGGGAGAGAGGTGCTGGGGTCTGCCTGCAGGTATCCGCCCTGGGATCGTTCATCAAACACCAGACATGGGGCTCCCTACTCCCCTCTTGCTGCTGCATATGGCTTTTCCACTGTCGCTTTCAACACTGTCATTTTCTGTGACCAACAATGTCAAGACAGCAGTTCATATTTTGCAGTTAAGTGTAATCAGGTACATCTGCAATTTAGGATTTTTCTCAGCAAGTTAGCATCACTTTCCTCTTATAAAAACAACTAAATGAGCTTCTTGGAGAGCTTTCTGCTTGAAGTCGTTGGCAGATGAAGAGTACGAAAGGATTCAAAATGTCCCAAACCTCCTCCATTTTTCCTTGATTTCTCCACTTAGGTGCAGCACTGCTCTCCCATCTTGTGCTAAGACAAAGGTGAAACAAGCCCAGGTGTAAGGCTGAGTGTGAAAATGGGTAAACAATAACAATTCCTGTTTGCTGCAACTTCTGGTTCGCCTGAAACGGAATGTGAGTGCCTTGCCAAAGTCTGCTAAAAATAGTGAAGAGCCAGTGTCAGAGTCTGCCTCTTGCTCATTTTTTTTCCTGTTCCTTTGAGGGGGGTGGAGATGGAAATCAGCATGCTAATTTATTAACGCAGCCTTTTTTGGTACATTGGTGTAGAGATTTGTTGCCTTGGAACAACACACTGTCAGAGTACAACAAATGCACTGACAGTGTACAAACTTTGCTGTGAGTGGGTCCCATTGCGTGTTGTCATTAACTCTTTCTTTCCAGGAGTGGATGCAACTTGGGTTTTGGGACAGCAGGTTCTCTCTGCTGGGCATTTGGTCATGCTATCCATGATGTTTCGTAGGTTAAGACCAGCTCTGCCTCCAGGTTTCATTATATCCAAACACTGTCCTGTAAATGAAGCATTACTAATGCCTATAGAAGGAAACATGGAATCATAGAATCATTAGCACTGGAGAAGACTTCTAAGATCCCCAAGTCCAACCCCAACCTGTCCCACCATGCTCACTGACCAGTGCCACATCTTCACAGTTTTGGAACTACTCCAGAGATGGTGACCCCACCGTTCCTTGGACAGCCTGTGCCAATGACCACTCACTCCTAATACCCAACCTGAACCTCCTCTGGTGCAAGTGAAGGCCATCACCTCTCATCTTATTGCTATTACCTGGGAGTAGAGGCTGACCCCCACCATCTCACCACAATCTCATTTCAGGGCATCATAGAGAGCAGGAAGTTCTACCCTGAGCCACCTCTTCTCCAGAATAATCCATTCCAATTCCCTCAACTGCTTCCCATCAGACTTGTGCTCCAGACCCTTCACAGCACCGCTGCCCTTCTCTGGACAAGCTCCAAAGAAACATCATCAATAGAACTGGTACTCAACAGACCCAGTATGTAACAGAGCTAAAAGTAAAATCAGAGTAGAGATAATGTGGACTTCCTTCTTATTTGTGCCAGCAACTTCATCTTCCTCAGCGCTATAAGTCGAGTTCAGCATGTTTAAACCTTGAGCTACTGAACTACAGTGCAGGGTGGAGAAATCATTTCAGTTCCCAAAATCTCCTGTACAATGAGTTGAATCCTTCTGCACTTCGCAAGGGCCACGGACATGTTGGTATTTGCTTAGTGCCTCTTGGGAAATGTGGTGCCCTCTCCAGATGGGCGTGGAAAGTAGTGCTGTTCTATTGCAAACATTGGTTCTGCCCACAGCTCAGAAACATCCCATAACCTTTTATGCTGTCTACCCAAATACCTGGCAAAACAGGAAAAACATCACATTGCCCAGGTTCTTGGGGGCCATTTCACCTTCCATGGAATACTAAGAGTGTGTTCTTTTTTTTTTTCTGGGAGTGAAATGTTCAGTGATATTGTTGTCATGGCTAATATCAGCGGTAGATGGAACTGGTAGCAAGTAGGAGTAATATTCAAACAGTGCTGCTAAGCCTGATGATAAAGTATTTTGTTCAATGTGCAGAGACATTTAAACAGGCTGTGGCTGGCAATGCAAGCCAGACAAGATTAAAGTAGAAATAAAACTTTTTTTTTTTTTTTTTAAAAAGAATGACTGCTATTAACCATGAGAAAAACCACACCAGCGGAGTGGTGAGCTCTCTTCTCTTTAAAGGTGTACAGCATAAGGCTGCCTGTGTCCTATGCAGCAGTGTCACTATGAGGTGACACCCTTTGGTAGGTGACATATAGGAGGATGGAGTAATGACCTCTTTTGCCTCCTGGCCTTTAAAGATCCCACGTGTGGAGGTCTTATTGTCTTTCCTGGAATAAAATAATAAATAGTGGCAAAACTGGATACAGCTCAGAGCCTTCATCTTCCATTATCTCCCAATAGTTTGTGCTGGAACCAAAAGAAACTTCAGCTGATCTCTTAATGCCTTTGACTTGTAGGCTGACTAGTTGGCTTAGTGGGAAGTATTGGTGATGATGGTTGGACTGGATGACCTTAGAGGTCTTTTCCAACCTTGGAGATTCTATGAGTCTATGATTCTAAAGGATGCTGAAATTCCTGCTTTGTTTTCAGTAAATTGAGTTTTATAGAAAGCCAGTAGCACAACTCAATTGCTTGCTATATGAAAATTAAATAAAATAGAACGTGCTACCAGCGTCCTGAGATCCTTTGCCACAAAATATCTCATTACATACCCCTAAAATGCCAGGACTGCATTCCTTTCCCTCACCATTTATTTTCCTGTTTGTCAGATTCAGGTTTCTTCAGCTTTGAGAGAGAAGTTTTCCACGCACCTCCTGGTGAGTAAGTGCCAATTCAGCCCCAGAGATGCAATTTGA